CGATATTCCTTATCTGGATACATTCGTCAATAATCTATCGATCATCGGAACAACGGATCAATGGAGATAAGAGTCACCCGGTAGATAAAAGCGTCGCAGCGTTGCTTAATGATCCGAGACAGTTATCGGGTATGGCTCCTAATGATCCATAACCAGCGTTTCCTGAAGAATAAATCACTTCGAGAGGATCGAAAAAAATATCTGCATGAATATACGGTAGACAAAAAAACTGACAGATCGCAGCAGGCAAGCGCTTAGATAGAAGAAAAATTCGCGAGAACCCTCCCCGATGAAGCGGCCAGAGACAGAAAGGGGAGAAAGCACTATGATGGGGAGGTGAAATCGGATAAGGGAGTGCGTGGGGCACGGATAGGATCGTCACAGTAGGGAAAATTTTCTTCTACAGCGACAGTGCAAGGCGGCACGATGCGCGAGCATGGTCCTACAACCTGTTATCGATGATGGTTGTGCAGGTGGGCGTCAGGTGGGAGCTGCACTGGCGGTCAGTGATGGTCAGAGGCCACGTCAGACGTGAGCCGAATACCGCTCTTTGATCCTGAGGCCAACAGACGCCCGCTTCCCAGAAGGCCTACGTCGTCGAATGCCAAGGACAACAGACACGGTCTCATCAGCGGCTTTGAATGGCTGGTGAAGTCGGGTCAGGTTTTCATACCTCCCAACCTGCGGGGCATTCGGTCATTCAGCGGGTCTGAGCTCTCTTGCCAGCGGGAACAGTTCTCTGAAAAACTTTGCATCCATCGTTCATCGGGACCGAGACAGGCCCGGAAGGATCGCTTGAATTACGAAGGCCTGGCATCTGATACCATACGGGGAAGATGAAATCGATTCGTTCAGCCTATGGGACATTCGGAAGGGTTCTTCTATTTTTATGTTCACTTGGCAAAGTTCGGGCTATGCTCTCCCTTCTACTTGTCAAAACAAAAACTTTCAGAGGCCCGCCTAAATCGATTTGAGCGTAATTGAATTTGTCTGTTGAGTTTGCACGTCTATCCAACATCTCGCAGTAACTCTTTCGCTTGTCGAATGTGGTCGGCAAGAAGTCTCCGCTCAGGCGTGAGGTCGGTCAACAGACGAGTCGGCGAGACGAGCCAGGACTCGCCAAACCAACAGTGGCTTCTTTCTGTGGCGGAAGGTAAACACGACAACAAAGGCAACAACAGTGACAATCATGTCACGGGACGACCCGCTTTTTTTGCGTGCGTCACTCTCCGAGAGATAACCATCTGCATCATCAGCCGATCGATAGACTCGATAGGAAATTCTCACCAGAATGGAAAAATCTCGACGGGGAGGGAAGTTTTGCCTCACGTCCGCCTCAGACCCCAAGTATTTCCCTCCGCGAGATTCCGAAGTATAATTATACGTAGAGACATGATGAAGCTTGGGGTTGAGACGAGCGACGATGCGACGAGAAATTTCAGGATAAAAGGACCGAACCCAGGCTGATAACGATTCTAAGTCGACTCGCGAGTCGAGAACAGACCCTGAGGTGTCCGGAGGTGTTCGATTATTGTCGTGGATTGAGCGCTATGTGCAGTCTACACGAAGTACCAGTGCGAGATTCCCCATCGGAACCCGATGGGCGACTAACGATGCGACTCGTGTGATTAGGATCTCTACACACGGAACGAGACCTTCGCAGGGCGTCACCGAAGAGATACTCTGTTCAGGGATAGAATTCCCGCAACTCGTCCAGAGGTGTCCGCTCCCCTGAGTCCTTCTGAGCTACTAGCTTCAGGAGCGTGTCGGATCGATTAGTTGACGCGTCACGCTACGCGGGTAAGAAAGGTACCGGAGGCTCTCCGCTCCGTTTTTTTCGAATAATGAAGTAATCGACGGTGTCGTGGTATTTGGGGGCAATATGCAGCTTTCTCGATCCTCTCCGGGGAATTCTGAGCTCGGAAATGAACACTGAGGGTAGGAGGATTACTTCAGAAGTTCCGAGGTCATGGTCCAAAAATATTTCCCGCAAGAGAGCGGCAAGGCGGGGCAAAATGGAGGATGGAGCGAGTCGAGATTTCTTTTCGGCCTTGGGTCGCCGACGAATATTCGATCGACCGCGACCTAGGAATCTAAGAACTTGCCTGGAGAGAATGCAAAACTCGGGGATTCCGTAAATATACCACCTCGACCTCCCCGGGGGAGAGGCTAGCTGTCACCTCGAAACCTGCGAAATATTGCGGTGGACAAGGTCAGTGTGGACAGAGCAATTGATGGGACCTTCTGACCGCTCGGCTATCCCTGGTGGTATTACGGTTGTATCGATTCGCGCTTCGTAGTTCGAGCCTCATACGACCGGAGCTCTTGCGAAATTCGAGAGAAGAAGCTTCGCCTCACGACACGTTTTTCCGTGGATCGAGGAGACCGCATTCAAGCGGAGCGAAACAGTTTTTGCTCTCCGTCCCGAAGACCTACCCGTTCCGCACGATAGAGGGACGCAACAGTCGCTTCCGCTGGTCCGATCATCCGTTCGGGTTGTAAGTTCCGTCTCTCTTATCGAACTGTTTTTGTCGGGCCCTCGGCGGCATCGGAGAGTGTTTCGAAACGAGTCGGGAATTATTCACAGACTGTCTTTTGACGAGCGCGCTTATCTTTTGTGGCTTTCCGAGAATATTGCAAACAGAACTAGAACAACAATGAGAAAAATTTCTCCCGCGACCCGTCTATCCGACATGCGCAGACGATGTTTCGAAACGCGAGCTTCAAATATTCATCTTTTATGGTATGGCCGCTCCGTGCGCGACGACTCCGCTCGTCCCCCGTGGGCTGCTCGGTCGAAGGTTCCGAGTCTCGCGTGGAGACTTTTCCTCTCCGAAGTCTGAATTGACCAACGGCGGACAGAGATCGATGGCCCGAAGGTTTTCTACGGAATTGCCAATATTACAAATGACGCTGTCTGTCGCCAACGATGTCCGGACGCTTCTCGAGAGATCCTCCGATAGTCGATGCGTGGCTTCATCGTGAAATGTATGTCTCGACAACGAACGATATTCTAGTGGTTTTACTACAAGCGGAAGTCGAGATCCAATGCACGTATCTGTTCCTTTTGCCAACTTCCTGCGAGTCTCCCCCTCGTCAGGAATGAATATGGATGGTCCCCGCGGGAGTCGGCCAGGGGAAGCGGGTGGGGTGTTGTGTGATAAGAGAGACCGGCTTCGGAGAGTGATTCATTTTAGTGGCATCTTCCGTTTTGAGAACTAATTCCATTTCCGGTGCCCCTATCCTGAACCCGAGTCCTGTCTTGCGGGTTGGACGCTTGAGACTAGTCTCGCCAAACCTCGCACGTTGGCTGCAGCCATCAATGGCGTCCCGGGACCCCTCACGGCATACTCCAATTGTTTGGGTTTATCCCACTGTCGGACCTTAGCTCGAATGGGGACTTTTAAAGCCGACGGAAGTGACTATTCATCCATACGGCGGCTCGTCCGATTTAATCAAACTACTCACTAACATCGCAGCGTGGTGATTGGGAGCCATTTCGGAGAAAAGCCGCGGGGACCGGAGCGAGTTCAACCCCCGTGTTGAGGGATGAGGACAGTTTCGCGCAAGGTTCGAATTCAAAGTGGGGCCGTGATGCGATCTCATTCGGGCTCGACTTCGCAGAAAGCTCCCGAAGGCTCCATCCTTCAACGGATTCTTTCCGCTCCCGAATCGGGTACAGATACTCCGATCGATCCCTGTAGAGGAGGATCCCCCGGCGGAAGAGCATCAGGAGGCGTTCCATGCCAGGCTAATAGTCGCCTCCCGATTACCGGCTGCAGGTCTGAATCATTCGGGTTGTGAGCTCTGGCCGCCACTGGATCGAAATTCATGATTGGAGTGTCGTGAGAGGAAAACGTCAGGAGAGGACACCATGAGAGATCACGCCGATAATTCTGAAATCAGGGAGAGGAGGGAGATGTTCCGAGCTGAGCAGTTCAGCCCCAGAATTCGTACGATCCAAGCTCCTTAGAATGGGAGCTCTTGAGTCCTGAATCGCTTCTGAGAGCAGAATGAATTAAGGGACCTCAGAGAGTCCCATTCGACTAGGGGGGGGGCGGGGAGTGCCTCGTTCGGTAATGGGAAGCGGCATTCGCAAAGGTTTTACGCACTCCTCTTCCGACTGCGACACCAGGCTTCAAAAGCAGCCTTCGATTGAAACTTGCGATAACCTCTCATTTGTTGCAGTCAGAACCGTTAAAACAGACTTCTCCCTCTACTAACTCCGTTCAGAAGTTTGCCCCGGACTCCGAATAGGCGATTCTATTCAATTTCCACGAACAATGACGAGCTCTACCTCATGCGCACCTACTCGTGGCCGCCTGCCTCCGGTGATAGTTGTTCTTTGTTCTCACTGCAGGCAATTTGGAGCTATCACGGTCGGCAGCCCCGCTCATCGCGCCAAGCGCCGAACAGCTGACTTTGTAACCTTGGAAGTGGAGTCACTCTGCGTGTTCCGAGCCTGGCTGTTCTCTCGGCTCTCCCACGAGCCGATGTATTCAAGTAGTGAAAAAAGACATGGAGGATCGATTTGAATCATTATACCGGAGAGACGAGTCAATACAAGAAATGGTAGTTGACGGTTTTTTATTTCGTTCGCGACGTCGCGTTCGGTTGAACGAAATCCGGGGGTTATGCGCACTACTTGTGCCCCATGCGGAGAGCTACGACAATTCTCTGTGACTGACTGGCCGACTGTGAAAGGTCCGTGATCCAAGGACTGACAATCCGGATCCCGTTTTCCCGAACTTGCTCCTCATTCCTCGGACGGATTAGTAACTTACTTACAGTAGGCTCTGAAGGTCTACCTCGAGGCTGGCGGAGCGAGATGGAGGGGGTTTCCGCTCGAGCGAAATTAATCTACAAACTCTGTCACCTCCCCACGCTCTCATTTATCTCTGCGCATTTTCGCCCGGAGATTAGGCTCGGTGTAAGTGACACTCGCCGTCCGTCGCGATTTTCTCCGGGAATCCGTTGAGAAGTCGTCAACAGACGATGAACTATCCTTCGAAGAGTTCGGGCGCTGGGTACTGGCTCTCGAGGCATCTTTCGACGCTTCGGTAGTCACTCGACTTCGCTTTGGTTTCGGCGGCTCTGCTTTGGAGTGGTGGATAATGAGTGACAATATGAATGGGAGCTCCCCCTTTGCCTCGATCCGGGAGGCTTTCGGACGGAATACGTATCCCGGAGCGGGTTCCGACCCTCGAAATGGTTCCAACAAGAATGACGGATTCTGGTTCTCTCCGGTTGATTTCATCGTGGGCATGGGAGATCGGAATGCATTGGGAGAGGAGACTCAAAATAACACAGAGGAAAAGTTTGTACTCACCGAGACCTTCCACCGTGAAAGTCGCCTTGCTTGCGGCATCGTCGCTTTCCGATTCGGCCGTGGAATCGGCTTTCGCAGGTTGTCTCTGGGATCGCTTACGACCTGAGGAGGGAGTCGAGCTCTTGATTGAAAAACTCATCTCGTTCTAGTTGAGACCCCGGCGTCAGACGAGGGAGACGATTGAGAACTGGGCGTACGTACCGACAGGTCTTGCGGGAGCTTTCTTCTTGACGTAGGTCTTCCTCGGCACTGGTTGAGGAGAAGCCGTTGCCGGCTCGTCGGTTTGATCAGCGGTCTTCGGTTTCTCGTCTGGCGTCTATGGATGGGATTGTTTCTTTCTCATTGACGCTCCTCGCATTGGATTCTACTTCTCTCGATATTAAGACAAGCCGACGGAGGGCTCGAAGATCTCTGGTTCGAATGAGAGGATTCTCTTCCCCGAAGAGAGAGGAAAAACTACGGATCCGACGGAAAACAGGCCGGTGGCGTCGAAGCATTGACAATAATTCAAGCGGGAACTCAGCATGAGCCTGGAGGGCGAATGCTGCTTTTCGCGAAAGAGAACATTCAGACTAGGTCTCGCAAATTCTTCCCCCTGGCGCCAGCTACTCACCTCTTCCTCGACGTTCCGCTCAGCTCCTACAATCCTCGCTTGACGGTTCATCGTGTTTTTCGGCCTGACTCGCTTCACAAGAGGGGAACTAACAGCAGCTTTGACGACCGGTGGCTTCGGTATCGCCAAAGCATCCAAAGTCTCAGAGTCATCGGGCGCGGTACTGAACCGCACACTCCTGCGCATGGCGGCGGAAAACTGCGAGGACGACGCTCTCCCATTTGCCAGAATCGGTTTTCTTCGACGACAATCGATACGGTTGACCACCGTCGGTTCCGTGTCCGGTGTGGACATTGTGGGCGTTTCGGCAACTATGATTGAAACTCCCGGTGGGGTCACTTGCCTTTGAATCTGTAATACATATACCCGAATAGGAGCTATCCCTGACAATTCCTACTTCGTCTCTCCGGAGTCTCCGACTCGAGTCGGAAGCCCAGAGCACTCATGGGAAGACACGGCATCGCTCATGTTTCGGACGCAGAGCGAGAAATCGTTCAGAGGACAGCTACTCGACCGGAATTATGGAACAGGGGCGAACTTGCTCGAGAGAGTTCTTGAATGGAAGCGCACCTGGAAGGAATAACAAAGTCGGCGGCATACCTTGTTGAGCGCAGGTGTACTTGTCGGGAGGTCGGAGTTCTTTTCACACAAAACTGGAGATGGGAAACGCGTCGTCATCAACGGGTCCAGCTCTGTATTATCCGCTGAACCCGTGTCTGCCAGCGCGGATTCAGTCCCTCGGAATGTCTCATAAACATCGGCGCTAGGTGCGATCCTATGAGAATTTACTCGTCAAAAAACTGCTCTCTCCCTCTCTTTGAGAACGAGTATGATCACCCGAATGGGATCGAGACACGATTGGAGCTCACCTCCCCTGTGGACGTAGATTGTCTGCATTTGCCCAAATTTGAGCCACATTGACCGCGGTCGGGCTCCTCTCAGCGTTTTGCGCCAATTCTGCCTGCGGCAAACGTTCTGTTTCGTCTCTCGTCATCTCGCACCACGTCAAGGGCGGCTCTCCGGCTTCGTCGCAGACCTAGAGAAGGAGAAGTTCCACTTGCCTTCCTTCTTGCCTTTTACTACCCTCGCCAGATGATAACAATCATTGTCATACCGTCAGAGTGAAGCCGTCGGTGTTTTCATTATTGTCGGGGTTCCCATTCTGTGAAGTCTCGACTTCCATCGTCGAGGACATTCGACACGAGCTTGCCTCCGAAACTGAAACACAATTCGGAATGAAATTCACCCATCTGCATGAGGGCGGAGCTTCGCGAAAAACTGCTCACGAGCTGACTTCGCGTGGCAGTTAGGTGCCTTGAACGGTCCCCCCGATCGGGCGCCCCCGCTGTGGAATGGATTCGAAGGTGGAGTTGCATAAGAATAAACTAACCAATGATCTGCGGTGGTTCCGGCATCTTGACGTAAGTTGTCCGTTTCGTCGAAGATCTAGGGAAGAGGTTTGACGACCTTCGCTGTCTCAACTCGCTTCGACGCTCAAAGGAATCTTCCTCCGAGCTCTTCGATGAGTTCGTGGGCTGCTGGTTAACCGGGATTTCGGAAGTCAACTGAGGGAATGATGCTAAATTGAGGACAGAACCTCGGGAGAAGCGATTCTTCCATATCGGGGGCTTTCGCAGCGGTCAACCTAACAAGATCCCAAGATTCGGATGCCCCCGCCTCCCAATTCGTTTAGGGACATTGATTGACGCCGCATGGAAGAAGGCTACGGCTTGGTCTAATTCCCCTGTGCAGTTCAAGGGGAGCATCTGGGGGCAAAGTGTGGTCAATCGTCCGACTTACCCTGTTCTGGGCACGCTCGGGCACCGGTCGAGGTATGCCAATCGAACTACGCCGACTGCTCCGACGCTGCGTGACGGTCGAAGTTCCCAAAGACGGAGACGTTGGTCTCGTGAAAGTGGATCCCGCACGTGGCGAACAGTTCATCGTTATGTTTTCTGCATCCTCGCTATTCTGCTCCATGATCGTCTCGATATCGCCTTCGTCATCGAAACGATGATGCTCTCTGGGGGGAGCTTGTTTGACCACGGGACTCCGCGGCGGATCCCTGATCTCGTTCTGCTTTTACCACGCACGTCCCTTAATCACGACTCTTCGACTGCTCATTGGCTTATCGCAATTATCAGAATGACACCGGCTCATCCAAACAAATGAAGTTGAATGGGAAAAATGCATGTCCGATTTTCCTCACCTGAACGGGTTCAAACATGAAGCTTTCTTCCCCCACTAGAAATTTACGGAGACTGTTGGCATCCGTGAAACAATCCATCATAGTTTCGATTTGTCCCAAGTTATCGTAGGCGAGCTCTAAGTGCTTCTTCATTCCTTGTACAAAAGGTATGCCTGAAGGAATGAAAATCGAAGTCTGTCCCGAGGTTCTCAGACGATAATAAGCTATCCCGATTCATATTCCCCAGAAGTCCCAGATCCCTCGAGGCATAAAAAGAACGGGGAGGTTCGCCTCCATGCCCACGAGTACGAAGCCCCCTCCCCCCTGAAAATGTGTCTCCAGTTCATGCAGGCTCTCTTTAAGGAGGACATCATGATAGTTTGCACCGGTCCCTACTCAATCGAGACTTAAGGTCTCCGATTTTCGAGAGGGATTGACCGAACTCACTTTGACCCATTTTCAATAGGAAGCGATCGAACATAACCGAGAATTCTCGGTTAGATTTTTCTGCAGCTCGCAAGGCAGCGTTCTCTCTGATGAGTTCTTCATTCAACCTCCTATATCGTTCGGCTCGAGCCGCGAGGCCTCGACACCGAGGCGATACGCACCGCCCTCTAGGGGGAACCTGTCGAACACAGAGCTACTTAACAATTTGCAGGCCTCGATCAATGCGTGCTTACAATCAATCTAGTGCACCTTAAGATAGCTAGAGTACGTCGTCTCAGACAATCGTAGTCGGATGAATGAGATGATAATGATAGGATGAGGAAAATAAAGACACTGATAAGTAAGGAATTATTGAATGCGGCAAAAAGAAAATTATTCGCTTGAGGAATCTGAAACTCGGCTCTATTAAGCTCCCGAGGAAGCCGAGCACGAGCAATTCAGCAACTAGGTGAGGTACGACCTCACTGACTTAGCCTCAGCGATGCATTGCAAGCCAGTTTCGGAGAAGAGAGGAGAAGAATAACTCTGCCAGCTGATATCCACGCACATATTGGAAATTTCTTCTGAGGCGACCAGGATGCTTCAAGCGAGCCTTTCTTGCCAGGCTCATGACTTCGCCTCGAGGAGCGATCCCTGGAGAGAACGTAAAACATTGAGATTATTGCAGGGTCCGGAAAGTTCATTGTTCGCGCCTCCCAGATGAGCCCGCTTTCTCCTCAGAATCGAAATCACGCCCGAACTCTCACGCATCAAAGGGTGTTCGAACTCGACCCCGTCACAAGTCAGCACGAGTAGAAGCAAGAAACTCAGTAGGTGCGATCAGGTGGTGCTGAATTCGCGATCTTATCGGTGGAGAATGTGGAGGACTTCCCAAAGAAGCGAGTCGTCGATCGTTACAACGTCTCGCATGCGTTTACGGAATGAAGTTTCTCCACAAACAACGCCTGGCTTTCAGAGGTGCAGAAATATTGAAGGAGAAGAGCTGCCACTACTCTGACACGGAGACTGTCCATGATTGGCAGTGCTCCCGAAGAGATGGAACAAAGTCGTTGAGCCCGACTGTTCGAGCGGTTGTAGATCATACATACGTTATCGAGTCCCGCCTAGCCAGTAAGTCAATATTCACCCACAGAGTCACGCCACAGACTGCCACACAACCTGGCGCAACCGCGGAAAATCACATTCAATTCGAACACCGCTTATTTGAAGCTTGAAGAGTCCTTTATTTTGAACTCTTCTATCGAATATTTGTTGCTCGACGAAGCAACCGCCACCCCGTTGCCTCGAATCGTCAAGAGCAGACGACGCAGCTCTGGCGCGAGTTTTGAATGCATCCGCGCGGCGCACCGGCGCTGTAGCGCTCCTCGACGGGAGGCGCACCTCACCCCGGATCAATTTTCCTTCAGTGGAATCGCTCGGTGCGAGCATGCGGAATTCTTCGATGGACATCACGATAGGTGAGTTGCTAACTATCCCCATCGGAATGGTGCGCTTGCTGATTCAATTCTCCGCAAAAGCGTACGCTTCGTTGGGGGTGAAGTACTCTGGAGTCTGGAGCACTCGAGTAAGAAGAGATTCTGGGGTTTGAGCGATAGGGGCATCGCCTCCGTCGGGGAGTACAAAGCGAGATCTGACTAGGACAGATTTTGGGAACATAGGAGCCAAGTCAAACCCGCGATGACAATTCGAACATCATGGTCTTGAGTATCAGGCGCGAATTTTATACCGTGATAGCAAATCGTCCTTTTCATTGTTCCGTACAGCCAAGACCGTGCTGGGTCTAATCACGCAGCGATTTCTGCAGCTCCTGACGGATTGTTATACCGCGCCTCTCGCCCTGACCCGTGGCGTGGCTTCTCCGGCCCGAATATAGTACCTCTCGATCCCTCTCTGCGAGGCGGACAGCCGGGTATTTCTTTCTCTCGATGTGCGGGGTAATCTGGTTGATTTTTACCCCGAGATTCCATTGGTCGGTTGTTCCTTCGGTCTATTTTTTGTGGTACGAGATTACCAACGGACTCCCCTCCTAATAGACGACAGACACCCCACCTAAAACGAGGGCGTTTTTGTGTCTCCATGACAAATATATGAGCTCGCCGTCTGAGAGGCGGCGAATGACAATGTTCGACAGCGGCACAACAGCTCGGAGAGCGCTTCGCTAAGAGTCGGTCGCATGGTTGGACAGACGGGGGGCGACGCACCGGCAGGGAGCGACGAATCATCTAATTACGGCCTTCTTATCGTCTTCACAATCAGAGAAATAAGCCCCGGGGTGATGCTCCCTCTATGATAAGGTATTTCCGACGTACGAATGGGAAGAAGACGGTCCAGATCCTGGGCTGCCCCCGCGACGGTCTCATTCGCTCTCTTCCCCCGGGTACCGATTCTTCCGTCCTCGGAGCTTCGCGTCGCTCCACATTCACTTGGAGTGGCCTTCGTGAGCGAACGAACGAATGCTCCAATCGAAGAATCTCCCTCTGGGCGATTTATGCACAGCGGTGTCGACACCGCAGTCATTCCGAATTCGATTACAAAAACCTTGGGACCGACTAGACGCGGCTTTGTATACACGCATGATAAAGAATCGCAGCTCTGCTTCGCATCTTCAGATATAGGCGAGCCGGATCCATTCGGTGATCTCCAACGTCGAGCGTTGGGAGCCATCGGCTCTCATTGTGACCGTGGGCTTGCCCTCGGCTGGAGACCGTGTCGTGACAAACTTTGCGATGCAAAATCGCGGAGGCTAACTTTTCCCTCTCGTGCCGTTTTATAATGGACCGCAGCTGACTCTTCATCAGCATCAACGGTGCGGGCCTTGTTCAGATGCGGCCTAGTTACAAATCGCTGTGGACTTGCCCGTCCAGTCCTCGATTCCCCCTCTCCTCCACCATGGACCTGCCGTATGGGCTCTGGAAAGGAGAAAATAAAATAAGAGCGGGTCAACTGCGTATCGCGCTGGGGGGTAGCGTGGGAGCGCGTTCTCCATCTACGAGGCAAATCGCATTTCAGGTGCACTAATCAAGGATTCAGTTATTGTCATTGCGTCGAAGTCCTCCCTGAGGGAAGAATAGCTCGAGCTAATGCCGAGAAAGTCGTAATTCCGAGAATTATTCAGCATTCCCAGCCAATGGGAACGCCCGTCTCCGTCGGTCTGATTCGGGATGTTTCTTCAGTATGGACAGAGAGACACAAGGTATAACTTCCTCTTCCCGTTCTCGTATCTTCGTCTCGAGGAGGCTCCCACAAGGATGGCAGGGGAATAACAACTGTGAGTCAACACGGAACATGGAATACTTGGTGTAGATGGGAAAGGTATCCGAAGCAAATATTTGAGCTGCGGCATGGTCGCCTCTCATCACAAGTTACAGCCGTCGGTGCGATATTTCTACATTCCGATTCCGGCCCAGAGAAACTAGCTAAGCAAACATCGTGTTCGATCCACACTCGCTGCCGTGCCTTTCCCTGTCCTTGAGAGAGTTCCCCTTTTCTACTTTCGGAAAACCTATACCACTACGTTGGAGAGGCTCCGGCTATTCCTGCCTTGCTGTGAGAGCACAAACTTCAAGCGGCCTAATTTAGTTTTCCAATTCGTTCGAGCAGCGGATTGACTCCGTGCTGATCGCCGACTCGGTCGGCTCTAGCGCAAGCCTTGCGACGTCTCTTCCTGTCAACAGCTCTTGCTGAGGTGGGCTTCGAGAGAATCATAAGTTCTTTTCGATCAAGTCGATCGTTTCCGAGACACAGTCGTCGTCGTCTGAAGTGACTAGAGATATAATGTCGAAACGGACCGTGTCGGACTCTCCTGTCGGAAATTGGTAGAATATGCAGTCGATTCTCGAACATCGGACGAGGCGGGACCAGTGCAACATATCTTCTGAGGGTTCAGTTTTTCACTCAAAAAGTTTCGCCTTCGTCTCATCCCCGGCACCGTCCCCGTGTCTCCCTTTCGAATATCCAGCGAGTTCCTCTGGGAATCGTCTCAGCCTAGGAACGAAATAGAACCACGGATAGGTGTGGGTGCAGAAAAAGACGGAAGAGCCGCGCAAAACAAATACCGCCGAACGCTCGGAGGAAGCCCGCATCGAGCCCTACATCGCGTGAGACAGAAGGGGCTGCTCGGAGAAATGAAGAAGAAGAGGGAACGTTCGGAGCTAAGGAGTCGGATTTTTCGCGAGTAGACCTTCATACGAGTATTGAAGCTGGATGGCTGCATAATAAATCGACGTTGCAGCTCGCTTTGAGTTGAGTTTTGTTTGGGGCAACGCGAGACAGCGAAGAAACCGAGAGCTCTAAGAGTCCTTTGCGATGAAGAAAAAGGAAAATCGCGAGGAAAAGGATCGGAGTTCAAACGACAGCTGGCTGTAGGGTATTAGAGGGAGTTCGGTCGTTTGCGAAACTTCTTGGACTTCTCCCATGTCGCGGTGAGAGCCCCCGCTCCGCTGGCGGATTCTCCCAGGGCAGCTCTGGCCGAGATTTCTAACAGCGATCCCTCCGCCGCGCCGCGCGCCGTTCCGGGTGAGGAATCGCTGGAACTCAGAATCGTAGGCCCGAGGTCCCGAATCGCCACGGAGCTGATGTCAGCGACGTGGACTAAAACATGGTGTTTGGCGCCCGACTCTATCGATTCGAGAAAAACTAGCAATGATGGGCGAAATTAGAGATATACGCAGCTCTTCGAGACCAGTGAGAGTCTCATCGGAAGAAAACAGTGGACATCCTCCGGAGATAGGAAGAACAATCCGGCAAAGGCGAACAGAGAAAAATTTCGGCTCTAATTTCCCCGATCGACTCCGGATACGCCTGGTTTGAGGTCGTCGTTTCGGAGGGAGGGGGCAAGACGAGAGGAAAGAAGAAACGAGGGCAAGAGCGAGGAATCATCATCTTCGGCCTTTCCGCTTGGGCGGACGCGCGTTGTCAGCATGGGGTCCTCTCGAAGAGAGCTCTCTGGTTGACTCGACGAGAGGCTCGTATGTCGGAGAAACCCTCGAAGAAGATTGGTGGAGCGATTCAGAGACAGGAGGGCACTACAATGTTGTGAAATCGGCATGTTCTGCTTAAATTTCGTTTAGACCCGCTCCGAGATTTCTGTTGGCGAGAAAGAAATCAGAAGCCCGAGAGGAACGAGCTCAACCAGTCACGTCGGACGAGTCGGAGAGGAACAGCTGGGGTTTCCGCTCTGGAGCTTCTGGGGTTCCGCGGGTCTTTTCTGGTATATCTGAATTGGATGCGCTGTTCACGCGCATCGAGAACGCAGCTTATCGGTCGCCCGCGGGTTTCAGCATTGTCGACGGTCCGCTTCTTCTACAAACTACTATTTGTAAACACGGGGAGATGGGGGCTTCTGCTCTTTTTCGTCGTCTCATGCAAAAGACGAAAATTCTAAGATCGAAATCGATCAACTTCCGATGAAACTTAAAGAGATTCTCATAGCCTGATGACCCGTGTCGAACCCAGGTTCACCCTGAATTGACTCGAGATTGTAGAGGAGCTCCACATCCGAATTCAAATATTTGGCCGCGGAAAGAACAGGAGCCATCCTTCCACATCCTTCCAAATTAACCATCAAGATCGACGAAGTACCGGTCCGCCATAGAAAGCGAGGGGCTGTACGCTTTGTCCTCGGTGCTGGAAATCTGATATGGGGGCCGCGAGGATACCGGTCTCATTGAGGTGTCCCGCACGTTTCTTCCGCAGACTCACCTGTCGATACGGATTCGATTATGCTCCTCTTTATTTGCTCGTGCTCTGGATTATCATATCCTTCTACGCGTACGGGGAGAAATTTTGCTATCTCGTGCTGTCAAGAGAAGGTGTCAACCCAGAATTCCGGAATCACAAGCTGCTATTTGGCTTCCAACTGACAACGCTCCTGTATGGACTACCGGCGGTTTGCATCTTGATTCCATCGAAAAAGAGACGCAAGATCGCCGCTGGAGAACGCCTCTATTTCTGCAGATGGTGTCATGATGTCATCGACGGGAATACAGCTCACTGTTTTACGTGTGACACCTGCGTTCAACAGCACTTCACGCATTCGACAATTTTCAACTCGTGCATCGGTCAGGCGAACGTCGTTGCTTTCTTTCAGTTCCAGCTCTACTTCGCTTTTAATCAGGCTTACGTCCTGTTGACGTTGTGTAATGATTTCGGAGCTTTGGACATGAGCCACCTCTCGCATGCGTTGGTGACGTATTACCTCGCGATGACCTTTTTCGTTTTCTTGGTTGTGACATTTTATTTCGTCATCAATCTCCTCTACCTGGCGCTGAACATGAAGCCCGACGAGCCCTCGCACTGGAGAGAATCTCTTCGTTGCGAGAGACCCCTCGAGAACCTTCGGAAAACGTTCGGAACTTACGGATTCCTGAGGCTCTTGCTTGTTCCCACGATTCCGGGCGGTGAGACGTTTCCAAAAATTAGCCCACTCCCTCCGAGCCTTTGTAAATACCTCCAGCGATTGTGCCGCCACGTCGAACTATGTCACTGAATAATCTCAAGACGTATCGAATGTGAATAAATCCGCCATCAAGCTCCAAGTTTCCCGGTTCGTATCTGATTCTTCGTTGGGAGCGACATTTGTTCGGAGGAGCACCGGAGCCGCTTTCTCCGATTCGGTGAGAGGTATGCAAGCTGGTGTGCATTGCGAGTCACGGCGCAATTCGTCGTAGAGCAGCCAGTCGGCAATACGGCCGGAGTCGTAGATCGTAGATGAATAGCTATGGCTCTTTGGTCTTGACAAATGCTAGAGGCGGTACCGCGGCGGAGGGAAGCATCGCGGTATACGGTGTAGTGTTGAATACTGAGGGAGTCGAGACAAAAGCAGAAGACTGGCCGAGCTCGGTATCCACCTGTCGAGAGGGAAAAATAGAGACTTCCCCGCTGTGAATGGAAATTGACAACTCGGAACGGAATTGCTTCCCTCCTTCAGGAGACGACAAGGGAGACGGAGTGTTCTGTGCGAAGTCGGACTCCGCTCAGCGAAGGACCATCCGAACCAAGATGAGTCGTTCGACGGGAACTCTCTATTATCCGTGACGTAGCCGAGCAGCTCGGTGAAAACCCCCCACGTACAGTAGAAGGAGATCGGGGGGATGTTGATCGTCTCACAGAACTCGGTCTGTAGGCAAGACAAATTGAAAATTGAGAAAGACAAACACGGCGAAGAAGGACTACCGCTCTGTCCGGATGGAGGAGTGGCTGCTGGTCGGATAGATGGGAGTACACGTTCCCGGGAGCTTCTGCGCTGCCGGTTCCGGCTATTCTTCAAGTGGCTGCCTTATGCGTTTCTTTTTTGAGAAAATCCGGAAACTATAGACTATCGCCGTCACGCTTCCCACTGATGTGAGTGCTGGAAAGAGAGTTAGTCAAGCAAGAGGACACTGTGGATTTACCCTATCCGGAGTCCGGAGCCTGCTGTGAGCAATGGTAAGGCGGTAAGGAGTTGAGGGAAAACTTCGGAAGAAGAATTCCGTGTGGCTAGGAGACGATTCAGGCGGTCCGGGGGAATTCGCAAGAAAACTCGATGGGATCGCACCATGACAGAATCGACATTGAGGAGGCGTCAAGAAGGGCGCTCACCGGTTCACCGGGAATACCGCAGAGAGAATCGTTGGGGAAAGCCGAGGGGCCACCGAGTATAGAAGTCGAGACTTCGCTGTAGAGGAAGCATCGCACGCGTGAGAAGTATATGGTCCGTTCAACGACAAAGTGCAGTGTCTGCGGAAAAAGCGTTCCCACTAAATTGAAAATTGGACGCGAGCTCCTGCACGGCCGGTTCCGCGTCGGCGTGCTTTAATTTTGAGCAATTACCTCCCCATTATTTCCGTGCCCTCGGTCTCTCTTCCGCATTCTCACATCCTGCTTGCAAGGTTTGCTACGATGTCGGCGGGTTGAGCGGAGTCGTCGAACCGGCCACACGCATACACAAACCATTGGCGAATCGTAGCGCGGGTATCCATAATAATCAGGACAGATTTTAATGAGTTGCGGCTCGCCAGCCTTCCTTTGGTTCCGCACAACACGTGCCAAGCGGAAAGTACATCTGATAGTCCAAATAGCGCAGGTCACGGAATTGAGCACACTGCCGGGATGTGATTCCGAGGTCAGAGGGGTTCCCGTTTGGACTGGGATCTCGGACCTGAACAAAATCAAATCGAGCGTAACATCGAGCCGGGATCTCCAGCCTTCACCTCGTCAGAAACGGGCGCCGCAATCATCTACGACTAATGTTCACTTCACTGTTCACTCTCCTATCAGCCAACCAAATCACGTGCGAGGACGTTATTACCGTTTCTGGACATTTCCGCAAAGGTAACCACGAGCTTCACAAGCACCGACATAATTTTTTTTTCGCGCGACGATCGAGAGAACCCAGATCCTGTACGGGCTCGAACATTGAGACCGAATTCCTCGCCACGGCTCCAATTTCATGGGGGAATACCCCACCGTACCCTCACCCGAAGGCGTTTGAAAAATGCTGCATGTTGGCAAGAGCGAGGAATCGACTCAAAATCACTGATCTGACGGAGGTACAATGGGATCCTCAGCTCCGCTCGTTATATCGCTTCGGTATTCGGTGGGGCTACACGAGAAAATTGCCGATCACTCTACCGCTCTGTCAAAGCATTGGGCGTTTGATTCGATCAGGAGAGAATCGGAGAGTCGGGAACAGCAAGAAAAATCCTCCGATTCGGGGAGACTCCCTCAGATCATATATGTAGCCCGTCGAGGAGAAGGGAGCAGCGTAACTGCATTTGTATTGAGAGCAAGCCGCCGCTCACCCGCTCGCCCGCCGGTCAGTCAGTCAGTCAGCGAACTGGCATCGTCTGAGCGACCGAGCAAACTAACGGACGGCAAGACCCAACCACATCGGATTACCACCCGGATTCAGTCAGGCAAGCTAATCAGTGAGGTCAGTCACAGTCATAAAGATCGCGGGGGCGAATCCGGCGATGGATGGCAACAGCAAAGACTTCGGCGTCCGACTCCTACCCCACCGACGCAACTCAGTGGGCAAGTCGGCCGACCGAGCGACCGCCCGCCCGCTCCCCCACCCTGGTGCCTCCCATTCTCTTTTCCCCACCTACAGAGACCTCGGAGCGAACAAGCGCGCGATACCTAGGAATTCCACCATGAAAACTCCCGCAGTCGGGCCAAGATTAGGCCACGCTTCCTGGCCGTGTTTGTGACCCAAAGAAAGAGAGGCAGAAGAAATGGGTTCGGAAACCCACCTCTGTGGCCTAGCATCGATAACTGCTATAAACTTGTGCCGTTCGGTCAGATTGATGGCTGCGTACGCTGAATCCATTACGACGTGAAGGGGGACAAGGTACGGCGACAGCAGACGGGAAAACAAAACGTCCCGATTTCTCCCATCGTCGTTATCAGAACGAGCGGATTCATCTGGGGGGATGGCTGTGTGTACGCTCGGTCGACGAGCAAACGTACTTTTCCGCGCGTCCCGAATGCATTGAGCGGACAAACGGAGAGATCCTGATGAATAGGAGATATGATGGATACTCGGGTGACGTCCTCGCCGACCGATTGGGCCAATCGTCTTCGGTGGATGCATCGATCATGGAACCACCCCACCGCATCTTGCAATTACTTTGGGCTCAGATCACGTCGCATTGAGATAAATAAGGCCGGAGCAAGCAAATGGACAAGCGACTCGCTGTGCACACACATCCTCACAGAAGGATAGTATAGGATAGGGCTTTCTTCCCGCGCTTGGCTGCAGACTGAGGCATGGGGGCGATGAGGATGGGGGCGAGGGGGGTGCTGGGTGGGTGGGTGGTTTGTTGGTGAGTTTGCCTTCTTGCCGGCACGCTGCGGCATGTATTCCGGTCGTGTTTCGCTATGTACTTCGTGACCGCTAGTCGTAAACGAAGCGTGCATCTCGTTCCAGTCCGGCAAAACTTCTCGATTCATGCCCGCTGCTGCACATCCTCTAAGACACGGTTTGCATCCTCTGGAGGAGAGCTCCCGAAATAATAACTAGGGAACTTAACTCCAAGGAAGTTAGACGCGATTCGGTGCGCTCGAACGCTAAAGACGGCTCATTTGCAAGTGGGTAGCGAGTTACGCGAACAAAGCGAGCGCTCCAAAAGGAATTCCTGTGCGCGTGTGACTATTGTTCAAGCGACTCTCTCGTGGGGCTGCTGAAGCTTGTAGGCGAATTTTGAGCGCCCACGCTCGAAATTACGTATTTTTCATGTCTTGCTCCCAACTCCACATCAAAGGATCGTCGCCGATCGAGCGGAACTTCCTACGCTTCTCTAGAGACTATGGGAAGAACTCCCCACGATTATTATATAACCGGAACCAGAGAAGCTCGAGAATTAGGCTCCCTGTCGGATAAAGAGGCCAGAAAGATCTCCACGCTCCTATCCAGTCGAGCCGAATATTTTCGACCGGAATTCGTTTTTTTTTGCCGACGGGAGAGTGCTCTCGAAAAGAGAAGCATCGGCGTCGAAACGGATCGAAGCTTTTTGTCGCTTGTTTGCGATCCGTTGTCCAAAACCGGGGATGAGAAGGAAGAAGGGGATTTTAGCGGAGTGCAGGCCGAAGCGAATGTGTTCACTAGCCGAATCGACTGGTCAGTTCAACAACCTTTGTGGCGGCGGCGTCGTCGACAACGACAGGGGGAAAAAAGTGCTCCGAATGGCAAACTCGCAGAAAACCCCCGCGAAAGTCGATGAAAGCCGTAGCCACGAAATGCAATTGTTCCGGCCAAATAAAGACTTCCCCACCTCACTCTCACCAGGCCTCGACCGCTATACCAGACGCTTGATTTCCCTGCCCCCACTCCCTCTTTCCACTCCGGTACTAGGAGCAGCACAAGCAAAAGTGGGTTGGCTTCGGGACTGCGAGGGGGGATAAACTATGGGAAGACCGGCTTTGATTTGTCGAGAGCGTTCCGGATATTTGGCGAGGGCGCGCAGACCTTTGCTGTCCATGACAAGCGAACATGGCCGAAAAAACCGTCAGCTCAGCCGCTGGCGCGGTCCGGCTCGCCAGCAAAATCGCTTGCCCTTACCGAGCACGAAGGCGAGAAGAAAACGTCTACGGTGCGGGGACGCCGAGCAGGTCGGTCTTCGAAGCGTAGAGAGACCGTGTCTCACATCATTAAATGACTAGCGGTTTGCCGTAGCGGGAGGAGCTTGGCGACTCTCAAATGCGGCGAACTCCGGAGGGCCTGAGGACGAGGACAACGCCCGCCGCAGATTTTCAATCCGTTGTTTCTCTGAGACAAGACGAAGGGAAAAGCCTCCGAAATCTTCTTCCCTGCTCATGGGGCTGGAAGAAGGTGGGCTCGAGGAAAACCTATCTGCGCGAGGCACGGAGCTTAGCGGACCGAGGCAGGCAGGCGGGGAGGAAGTCGGCGAGAGATTCCGCAAGAGCGCCAGCCGGGGAACTCACAAGAAGCGCGGGGTCTCGGACTCCGGCTCACGTGTACGCTGTAGGTGACGGTGCGGTGGCGGGAGC